GATTATCGAGCGTTGAATAAGCGTACGGTCCCTGATAAGTATCCAATTCCTCACATACATGATTTTATGAACTCTATGACAAAAGTAAATATTTTTCCAAGATTGACCTCGTGCGAGCTTACTATCACATTCCTGTGGAACCCAATGATGTTCCTAAGACGGCCATCACTACCCCTTCGGACTATTCGAATTTATTCGTATGCCGTTTGGTTTGACAAATGCTGCTCAAACATTCCAAAGATTTATAGATCAGGTACTCCATGGCTTACCTTTCGTCAGTGCATACATAGATGACTTAATAGTAGCTAGCGCATCTGAAACAGAGCACCTGCAACATCTGAGGACGCTTTTCGAACGACTGCGTGAATATGGCATTACAATCAATCCGCAGAAATGCGAATTTGGCAAGGAATCCCTACAGTTTTTGGGTCACATTGTTAATGCCAACGGTGTTAAACCGGTTCCGCAAGAAGTAGATGCAATTCGAGAATATCCTGTTCCAGACTCGTTTCGAAAGCTGCGAAGATTTCTGGGGTTAATAAACTTCTATCGACGTTTCATACCTAAATGTGCTGAAGTAGCCCAACCGCTGACAGATTTATTGCAAGGACGAGCCAAAGTGTTTCACATGACCCAAGCGGCCCATGATGCTTTTGACAAACTGAAGCTGGCTCTAAGTTCTGAAACTCTTCTCTCTCGTCGTGATTCAGAAGCACCACTAGCCATCATGACAGACGCTTCAAATGTTGCGGTAGGCGCAGTACTACAACAGTTTGTTCACGGTCAGTGGGAACCATTATCTTTCTTCTCGAAACGACTTAATGCTTCTCAATCGCGATACAGTACATTCGGCAGAGAGCTACTGGCGATTTACTTGGCTATCAAGCACTTCAGATATATGCTCGAAGGGTACTCATTTATAGTATTCACCGACCATAAGCCACTCACAAAAGCAATTGATGCAAAGCATGACAACTACTCGCCCCGAGAAATTCGACATTTAGAATTTATTTCACAATTCACTTCAGATATAAGGTATATCAAAGGCAGCAAAAATGAGGCAGCTGATGCTTTGTCTCGTATGTACGTAAACGTCTTAGAACGTGACCGTATTGACCTAGCAGAAATGGCAAAGTTGCAGGCCACGGATGAGGACTTGAAACATTTGAAAAACAATGTGAACACCTCATTACGTCTTGAAGAAGTGACACTTGATGACTCTGTATCCATCACCTGTGATGTATCCAAGGGTAAACCGCCCGTTTGTGCCGTTATCAATGAGACGATTAGTCTTCTCTAAGATGCATGGCATTTCACATCCTGGTATTCGAGCTACGGTGAAGTTAATTACTGACCGATACGTCTGGCCAAAGATGAATCGAGATCTTCGACAGTGGTCCAGAGCTTGTTTAGCGTGCCAGCGATCGAAAGTGCAAAGACATATTCTTTCACCTACGGGAAGATTTTCCCACCGGATGGCAGATTTGACCATATACACGTTGACATCGTTGGACCACTACCTCCGTCAAATGGTTTTAGCTACATTTTAACATGTGTAGACCGATTCACGAGATGGCCAGTGGCAATACCTCTGCAGGATATATCTGCCGAAACAGTAGCGAGAAATATCATCCAACACTGGATTTCTAACTTTGGTGTCCCAAGTGTCATCACCACAGATAGAGGTGCGCAGTTCGAGAGTAGTCTATTTCAACAGTTAACTGAACTTCTCGGGATCAAGCGCATAAGAACCACTGCGTACCATCCTGCATCCAATGGTATTGTCGAAAGGTTCCATCGACAACTAAAAGCAGCACTGATGGCAGTAAAGACTGATGACAAGTGGAGTGACAAATTACCACTAGTACTCCTTGGTATACGTTCGAGTGTCAAGCAGGACATTGGCTGCTGTACTGCTGAGTTAGTTTATGGAACTACTTTAAGATTGCCAGGAGAGTATTTTAACCCGGCAACAGACGTTCCACCGGACTTGACTAACTATGTACAACAACTACGGCGACACATGAGCACACTTCGACCTCAGTCCCCACGATACCGAGACAACCAAGTTTACGTACCTCAGTGCATCTCAAACTGCACTCACGTTTTCGTCCGACACGACGGCGTACGAAAACCCTTACAGCCCCCGTATGAAGGACCTTTCAAGGTAATTAGTAAATCAGACAAAGTTGTCACGGTCGAACGCTCGGGTAGACGAGAAACGGTCAGCATTGATAGAATCAAACCAGCGTTTATGGAACCAGATGTCACGGATACCAAGTCTGAACCCGCAGTGAAGCAACCGGAAACACCGAAAACCACCGTCAAAACAGAAACAACGGCATCGGAATCACCCAATAATAGCGACGGTAGCAGAACCACGAGATCCGGAAGAAGAGTCCGTTGGCCACGACGTTACTTTCAGACAATTTACATTTCATAAAACCAATTCCCTAGTAACATTATTATCGTTTTTGCTCATTACCTTGTTGAAAACATGACCACACGATTTTGTCAGACTTTTCCGCATACACAAAACAAAAATTTTTTTTCCGGGCACCACGGACTTCCGAATCTCTTATTTCTTAACAATGTTCCAGGTAATACGATTTTGGTTGTTAATTTTTTTTATCTCCGGATATATTATTACTTTGGTAAAGTTATTTTAGTGTTTCGAATGTCATACACTTCATTTTTATGTAAACACTCTTCCAATCAGTTTTCATCCTGATAATAGATATCCTTAACATTCCTTCTATGTTTTTAATATCTTCAAAATGAATTTACCTTTCTCATAATATTTTATATCGAACACAGATATTCCCTCTTATATCTGTATTCTGGGGAGGGACTTATGTAGCATTTTATTTCACTGTATTGTGTTGATATGTAACAACTCATTGAACATTTTTTGTTTAGTTGTACTGAAAAAGACTTTTTGCTCGCTCGTTGACTAATACAACATCCTGATATATACTTCGCGTTAACTCCTGATATTTACGCTGTCTGACGCAGGTGGATCAGCAGTGTCGGGAATTATAAATAGGCGATAGTGTATCTGGACACGTATATAAAATTTGGAGTCAGATTTCAGAGCTCGACAATGGGTGCTTATTGTTGTCGTTTGGGTGTGTTCATTACCTCTATCTTCTTTACGTCCACCTGAAGTCCCATTTTCGCTGTCTTGCCTCTTCTGTCAACTTGTTAGTTTTCGCCTGTATATCTTCAAGTTAATGCGACAAGACATTGGACATAAATCATCATCGACGGCGAAATCCAAATCTTCTCCTGGGGTCTTTTCATCGGTCTAGCCAGTGTATGCCGATCTTCTCACTACTCATGTTTTGGTGCATGATCCAGTCCACCACAATCAGGAAGATCATCGGTGATAGTAGGCGGCAGCCTTGTCTTACTCCTGTCCCCTGTCTTCACTTCAAAGGCATCACTGAACATTCCATTGTGGACCACTTGACACGTGGCGTCGTTATATAGCTGTTGAATGACGTTGATAAAGATTTGTTGCACTAAAACCATAGTGTTGAAGCAGCTGCCTGCCAAATTACTTCTCGGTCGACGCTATTGAAGGCCTTTCCAAAGTCGATGAAGTTGAGGTAATGTGAAGATTTGACTATCATTCTATACTCTGTTCTATGATGATTAATTATCGTTATTTATTTACTCACATTTGCAGTGCACTCAGTCACTTCCTTCAGCAATCGTTGAAAGCCATCATGCACTGTATTACAACTAATTAGGATGTGTTCTTTGTAATTACTTCGGTAATTGCTGATAGTAGACTTTACAATAATATCTATTGTCTTACTTCAGATGAATTAACTGATTTCACGTGTACTGTGGTGGGTATGGTTATTTCCAGTGAAGTCGTGACATAGCAGCCGTTGCTTCAAGTATCACCTACTAAACCAATGATTTACAGCAGACTTTTTCCTAGTCGTTTTTAATTTTTACTACTACGTTATTTGCTTTGTTTTGTTTGCCTATGATTTTCGTAACTGAAATAATGCTCTGCATTTCCTTCTAAATTGTGTAGCAACTAATTATTTATTTCCGAACTTTTGGTATGTGCATGACTAGTGTTAGTCACTATAATTCTTTTGACATGGGGATACATCATCTTACCATTGAGAATCGTCAAATTATTCATCTGTTTGCCAATCTTCTGATTTAATCATTTTATTCTGAATACCCAAAACACTTTTTTTCCAACTTTATTGGTTTTTTGAACTCTTCTCAATGAGGTTTATAACTGAAGGATCTTATCATACCTTGTCAACTTTATAAGGTATAAAGTATGCTCAGATTCCTTTCTGTTGCATACGATAATTTTTTTCACATTGCTAGCAGCCTATGAAAAGCCGGTGGAGAAAAAATGCAGTCATGCTATTCTGCTCTAATTGGTGCTATTTCTTCATCCAAGTTCTTAGTTAGAGGGCAATGCTTGCTGAATCTCATGTGTGCAAATTTGTGTTTTTAAAAATTCAATCAAAAGGAGAAATATGATTTTACTGACACGTAAAGGCACATGGTTATTCACTTTTTGACTCTATTTAAATATGTAGCTAGACAGACAATATTTTCAAGTTGATACGTTAAGAGAGTATACTTATGAGTTATGCACAGACAGACCAAATGAAATCAATTCATACTTTTGTGGAGTTAGCCAATTAAAAAGCAACACCTAATCTGTTGTACGTGTGTCTATGCTATCCTAGTATAGAATGCGTAGGATGAAGCATGCTTATTAATATTCAGAACATTTCTCAAGCGTTGAAACACAAAGGACAAACATTTTGGGTAACGCCTGATTTACTATTATTTATTGCTTGTGGGCATGGTTGAAAATGCATCAACACCAAGACTGATGAACTAAACCCATAAGACATAGGCTTGCACCATAGTGGAATAACAATATATTACATCCTGTACATATGTTATCTCCGTCAGTATTACAACTGCCATTTGATTAATACCGTTCACCTATGTTAAACAAAGTAGCAACTCTCGGTTCCAGCACACAGATTCCGCATGGTAGCCTTACAAGTAATAAGAATACCGATAAGATAAAAATGCCATTTTTTCGTAAATCCCGTTCAGCTTCAAAATCGCGTCAGAACGTATGGTCATCAGCGATCTGGAATAACAGTAATGATAATAATAGTAGCAACAGTAATACTTACAGCAGAAACAATTCATTGGAACCAATAGAATTATCTTGGGAACAAGTTGTATCAAATGACGGTTTTGTAAAACACTTTCTGAAAGTGTTTTGTGAGAAAGTTCGTAAAGGAGATCATTTTAAAACTGTTCGAATTATTGGATCAACTACCGCCGGATCATGTATTAGAGAATTGGTTGAAACGTATTACTCGAAACATGGGACATATAATGACTATTACCTATGCGAAATTATTGGACGTATTGAACCAATCTCATCATCTATGACATCGTCTACACCTGTGTGGTCTTTTACTGAACAAAAGGTTCGTCGAATAGATGTGAATGAAAATCTTATTTCATTATTACAAAATACCAGTCCAGGATATGGATTATGCAGACGACTGGAACTAAGACCAGTAGAAATAAATAATATGCCTACACCAGTACTTACCAATGAAAACAAAAGTGTAAATTGTTCACAAGTTAGTCTTCGTGAGTCTGTGACTGCTTCTCGGGCTACCTTGAATTCGTCAAGATCATGTACACCTGTAAATGGAATTACTCTTTTCAAAGATTCGCGTCGTGGTCATTTCTTCAGAGGTATACAAATTCCACAAGGACCACATCTTCTTTTACTACGTGGTAATCAGCCAAATCATGATAGCCTATTACATGACCTCACTAAACTTATTCTTGATAATACAATGCAGTCGTATATGAGTATTGGTTATGGCAAACATGCTGATATTCGACTTTACCCCATACCATCTGAGAGGAATTCATATGAAGGGGAGGGTATGATTGCGAAAGTTGTAGGATATAATGTTGTGTTGAAGGCGTCGCCTGTTACATCCAAGAGAGGACTAGTGTTTCTTGAACCTTATGATCAAAACAATGATGACATCAATAATAAAAAGAACAATGAAAATAGTAGTGGGAATAAAACTCCTAATGGCCTTCGTTCTATACCTGATAGTATTGAGATATACATTAATAATGATTTAATTAAGCCATCTTACGCTAACACATTTACGAGACATCAACTTCGTCCTGGCGATCTCATCTTTTTTGGATCGCAAAACGTGGTTACATTTACTTATTTAAGGATCCAAGATGTACGCCAGATCATAAATTGGAACTTCCATTCACAAGTAATCGAAATCTTAGAAGTAATTATAAAACAGATAAGAATGTAAAAAATTCCAAGTCAGATAATAATCACACTAGTATCAGCACTTCTACTACTACTACTGATGAAGAGGACAATGATGAGATTACTCAGCGTTCAACAACAGGACAACAACGTACAAATTCTAGTGCAACTATTACACTTGAAGAAATGAAACAAGATATAAAGCCGATTCCGACTTTAAGTGAACTAGAGTGGATTATTGAGCCATTACTTATCCAATTAACACTTACCGAGACCACATTCACGTCATCAACAACTTCCTTAACATCATCACTGACTTCACAGAAACTTGTCAGTTTGGACACATTATGTACATGGGAAGTGACAAAGAATACAATATTGGAACCATGGAGATCGGCATGTTTGTTGAGTCTTCTTATTAGAGCTACTGGATTGATTAAACTACGCAGTAATACTAGTACTGTGACTACTACTAGTAATAACAGCTCTAAGAATGAAAATTCCCCGTTGAAAACACTGAGAAATAATTCTATGGAAGATCTTTTGAAACAAATCACATCTATATTATCCAATTACCAAAAGCGTGCAGAATTGGTAAGTTCTTGAAGTTTCTTTTATTCTCCCATGGTTTACAAAATGTTGAGATGCAAGTGATACACAATAGACTTGGTGGTACGAAGACCAATAGCAAATTGTAGCACACTTTGACATGTTGGTGAAAATTTTTCATTCTCTACTATTAGAAATTCGTTATTTGGTTTACTGTGAGTCTCAAGAGATTCTTTAAAAATGATGGGGAATGGGCGTAATTAAAGATGTTGATGTTAAGCTGAGAATGTTCTCACATCTGGTCTTCTTTAGGATACAGTTTTCCTCACCTTTAATACAGGTTAGCAATTCATTGGTAGAGAAACATTTTGTAATATCCCTAAATATTTTCACAAGGTTTACTATTACGTGTGCTCTACTGCTAATACTGCTGCTGCGGTTATTACTAATACCATCACTTACTACTTACATTTCTGTGTGACTACGATCTTAAACTCTCTTTCAGACTTGAATGTCTCTTAGTTACTTTTACATCAACCGATTTTCAGCTCTTATTGACGATTACGACTTTATGATGGTGATGATAATGTCACTTCGACTTTAATATGCTGTGAGTTCTACGTAATAGTTACTTTTCCAGTCACCTGTTCTATTTATTGATATCTATAGTTATGTCAACTGCTTATATCGACTTTATTTGTTACTTTCGTGAAGTGTAAGTAAAGAAAAACAACTGAGATTTAATACAAGAATGAGTTAAAACCGATGATATTCTTTACTATACTTTGAAAAACAACTATATTGGTAACCTTTAGTTCTGACCCTCCCCCCCCCCCCCCCCATAATTACACTGACGGGCATATTGCTTAAGAATGTATTATTTCATTGTGCCAGTCGCAACTGAAGTTAGGTTATATGTAAGTTAATGAAAGGCTACCAATGGATAAGGGGATATGTCAGACTTTTCTGCATACATTGGTGTTATTATTATTATTATTTTATGGTTGTAACTTTATCCATTTCAAAAATAAGAATTTGTGCAGCTAGTGGTTGTTGAATATGTATCTGTTGTCATATTTTAAAAGACTGACTTCGTGTATACACCACATGATAAATGGATTATATGTTTATGCAAATACAGTTCTTTCATAATACTATAATAGGGAACTGGAAAGAGTTTGTCTATTACATATATCATTGTTATTGTTATTATTAACATATGACCACTAGGAAGAAATCCTTTTATGTTAATTTAACATGCAGTGTTTACAATTTTTCTATCCATCTACAACATCTCTATCTATCATTCCACACATTTTGATTTCTTTTAATAGTTACTGTATGCAGGTAACTTGAAACTTGTAATTATCATCGTCCAATCCGCCTACAGCATTGCATAACCTTATCTCTGTATATTCTGTCTAAAACGGTTCTATAACTTCTAAACTATGCCAATGAAAGTATCACATATTTATGCTTAGATGAAAAAGTTAATTTGTGCATGAGTGAGTTTACTGTGTTCATCGCATAAATATATTATGTATGCGGCTGTTACAATCTGTTATAAATAGAAGACTATAGTTTTCACATAATTAATAGTATGCATAACACTTTAGAGTGTACATTTAAACTTTTTAAATAAACGTTTACTAATAATTATCTGTTGTTTTAACTACATGTATACACATTCTAGGAATGATCGATACAGGCTAGGTGGTAGCTGGTTAACTTGTATGCTAACTTAAGTTTTTGAAAAGATTTAAAAAGAAAGATCGATTTCTATTCAGGTCAAAAAGTGTATGTATATTTCATAAGGTGCACACCATATGTGGACGTTCGATCTATGTTTTAAAAAAGGTTTGAAACACACTACAATCAAAATAATGTAAATGTATAAAATTTCTCAATTCTATTCTTGTTTGTTGATAATATAGTTAGTTATTCAACTCTGAAAAGTCTTCAGACTAATGGGATTTTTCGGTACTGCAATTTTAGAATTGACTAAAAGGCTTACCCTATCAACTGATAAGATAACCAATACCTTCTACATTCCATGAGAAACTGCCTTCCTAGCCGGAATTCGAAATCTGATTGGTTATTTCAACAGTTGGTAGTATGGCCATTTTATCTGGTAATAGAAGAGGATGACATTCACTGATTTGATGATATAAGCTTAATATAAGAATAAAACTTGGGCACTGTGCTAGACTGTAGTTTCATTTTAGTGGGTTTATTAGACACAACACGGTGGAACAGTATTGTTTACTAGATTAAATTTCGGATACAATTTAATGTTCATGGTCACATCTAGATAACGACACTGTTTTGAGGCACAGCTTATATGGATTTAATTATCTCTTCTTATTTGTGATATAGTTGGTAGGATTTTCTGTATATCTGGAATGAGTACTGAGCTATTCCTGTTGTACATATTTGGTATTGATTCAATAAAAGAGGATCGGTTATCCATTTCTGCTACCACCGAAGGACTGTTATGCAGTCCGTTCTATTCTATCGTTGCATGTAACTGTCTAAAAAGCCATAACCTAACTTCCCTCCGGATTTCTTATCTTATTAGGATCTAACAATCTTAATCTAACTAAGTATCCGACCTGCAACAGCCCATTCGACTACTTGGAGATTTGAGCTCGTTGTCATTTGGGCTCATTAGATCAATCAAATCGTTTAGCTTGTAAAGCTTGCCCCTTGGTGAGTTTATAGGTTTAGGTTTCACCCTAATCTCAGGCTTGTTCAGAATCTCACGTAATGTCTCTAATGTGTTTTCCTTGTTTACTAACTGAGTAGAGGTCTTCAATTCTGTCTTCACAAAGTGGACATTATTATTATTATTTATGTGAATATCTGGGGTATCACTGCTAGGCGTATTTTCCTCACAATTCCCAATGGATTTATTGATGAGGTTTGAAAGGTAATTATTGGTGAGTCAGGCATCCTTAATGCTTCTGATTTCTCATTCCAGGTCTTCAGCTTTACTAGTAAGTTTTATTCACTCTCGTACTTGGATGTTTTACTAAGCCTACTTCAACTGACAGAGAATGAGAGGGCTTGAAGGTTAAGTGGTGATTTGAATATGAAGGTTTCCTATGTATGGTAAATCCTACTACACAAATTAGGAGAGAGAACTACAGTCTTAAAAACTATGCCTCAAAGTTACAGAGTTATTTTGACATGAACATAGGCAATAAGTTACATCTAAAACGTTATCCAGTGAACAAAACTGTTTTATTGTGCTACTCATCTGATAAATCCACTAAAATGAGGGGAACAAATTTTGGCCAGACAAGAGATCCATGTGCCAATGTCCCACTTTTTTCTGGTTGTATCATACCTGCTGAGTGCAAAGTGCTTACTGCAGTTTATTCATTTATTGAACAATGTTGTCTCATTTGAAGCATTATATGCTTACTTTGATACTCTATGAAAAAATCTAGTCATTAGGATGCAGGCTTATTCAATTGACAAGTCTCAGTTTAAACTACCACCTGATACAATGAAATATATTGTACTACTAAACAACATTATAGAGGTCTAGAAAAAAGAGAATAGCAGCATGAAAACCACATAGCAGTTTGGTTACATATACTAATTCTTATGGAAAAAAACCCTGGTCAATATACACTGGAGTAACATGATCTGAAATTTATCTGCCGACTTAAAACAAATATATTTAATTTCTCAAAACCCAGCGGAATGGACTGTAGTGCAATTCTTTTTCACTATTTCTTAATCTGTTTAATTTTTATACTGGTATAAATGTGTGACGATATGCAGTGACAATTGCCAAGTTCATTCAACTGGTATCATTACTCTTACGGTTAAATAATCAATTTGATTTGACTTGATTCTATTTATTGGACAAAAATTGAGTTTCATTTTGCATTGAAATTTGTTTTAAAGACATCAAGATCCGTTTTGTCAATCACAACTGAATAAGTAATTTAGAAAATCATGTGACTCGGTAATTTTGGGCGACTTTGAAGGCCACCCTTGCAGTAGCTGTAATAACCAATCACGTTTCGGCATTCAGACTAAAAAGGCAGTTTTTCATTAAAAACAGAAACTTTATTGGTTATCTTAGCAGTTGCTGCCTTTAAAGCCGCCAGTAATCTTAGCTAAGGTAATTAACAGTGACCGACATATATTGTTTTACCAAATGACCATGAACAACTAATTGTATTTCCAGAATGTTGACCAATGAGATATTGACGACGAACGAATTTCACATATTGATTTCATAATTATGTGACGGTGATTCAACTCTGACCCTAATCTTTCCTATTAATCTTAATTTGCATTTTGTTCTCTATTTATTGAATAAATTTTCACAAATACTTGTATAACTTAACTACGTCCACTTATCTTCACGGGAACCAACTATAGCTCTTACTACTGATTTCGATCATGAGTGTTCACTGACATTATGTATGTATGAATACATTGGAGACATTAGCTGTTTGTCTTGGTACATTACTTCCTAACAATGTGTTACTCTGCTTTGAACTACTCTTCACTTACCAAGGGCTGAATATTATCATTATCCCCACATAATAGATGTGGCTCATTACCTACTGCTGGAACTTGCAAGAATTTTTTCACTTCTGTGAATTCATTGAAGTCGAAAGTTTCTTCTTACTTCCTCTTTTTACTAAAATAATACATGATGTATATAATGAGAGAGGCAGAATATATATATATATATATATATATATATATATATATATATATATATATAATGGTTACTTACTTATTTTGGTGGGTATCGAATTCAAAGATTTCCATTTAATCAAAACCTTCAGTTAGCTGTTGTATAAAGTTGGTTCTTCATGTTTCTATCCCCTGAGTTGTTTTGCATTTGAAAATATTTTAGCATTGGACAAACTATATGGTATGACTATGATAACCGAATTCCGTTTGTATAGAGTATAAATACCTGTAACTGAGCTGTTATTCGATTAATGCTGTGGCTTTCAAATAAACATACACCCTTCCTCTTTGCATCTAAAAAGTCAACTTCAGTTTACATT